ACACACACACACACACACACACACACACACATATATATATATATAGAGTATATTTATATTTAAGTATTTATTATAATAGCAAATATATTTTCTTATTCTTTACATGTTATATAAATATTGTTAAAAACTTTATTTTTGTTCAGTTATAAAAAAATCTCGAGCAATCTGCCGAGTAAAAATTTTGAGCGATCTGATTCTCTAGTACCCTTAAAAAAGCTTAAATTTATCTTGAATGTAAAATTTCTTGATTTTCTTTTTAAAAAAAAGTCAAGCTTTTTTTCTGAAGCACTTTTCTTGTTGACTCGTATTATATCTTTACACAGATAATTAATCAATTTTGAAAATATTACCTGAAGTTTTGCCTTTTCGCGATGTTTGACAGGTTGCAATGGTCCAAGAGTATCCATCTCGCTAGATGTCTGAGAAAGAGGGCGACTTCCATTTCCGTCGATAATTCCGCCGCCGCCACCACCACTACCGCTACCACCGCCACTATTGTCGCTAAGCCTCTCACCTTCCATCGATGTCCTCCTATCGTCTCTCATCTGAAAATAATTCACATATTCTCATTATTCTGTTTTATCAACTTTCACAGAAATATTAAAAAAAATAATCTTGATTCATGTATTTTCATTATTAAACAAAAAATTAGGAAAAATATGCATATTTAAATTCCTGTTCATTCATCACTATTATCAGATTGTGAAAGCATTCCAAAGCGAGAAAACATTCAATAAAGTTTCTATTCAAATTATATTTGAATAGAAATATTTTTCAATAAAATAACATTTGCAATCGATGAAACAGATTTATAAAATATATTGAAAACTATCTTCTTATTTTAAGGAGAAATTAAATCATATTTATTTTTGTATATTATTAATTTGACAAATTTATCATAGCTGTGAACATAAGTTATTTTGTTTTTAGTTATGCATGATTCATTTCCATAAGTGATTTTTATCGATTTATTATTTATATGTGGCATTTATTAATTAACGAGTTTCCAATATATTTTACAGGTTTGCAAGCATTGTTTTATCAAAATATTAATAATTTTTAAATTTACAAGGATTTGTATTGTATTTTTTTTGCTTCTGATGTCACAATCTGAAATAAT